ATCCCTAGGACGGCCAGCTAGGTACAGCACCTAAGAGATTCAGTAAAGGTTGGAAGAATGAATGAGTGAATGGGAAAAACAATAGAGTGTCTTCTCTCCCTGGCCCTGCTCCCATCCAATTGTGGGCCTCGATTTTGGTTTCCTCAGAAGGCAGATAAGAGAAGCAAGCCTCTTCTTACAAAGCCAAAGGGAACCTTCCTCCAAAAGAGGGGCAACCATGCGCATAGCTGAATCGCTCGGCCCCCCGGCCAGTCCAAGCCCCGCCTCCGCCCCAGGTCGCTCCTCCCCTAACAGGCTACGCTAACCTCATAGCCCCGCCTCTCCTTCCCTAGCCACACCCCCTGCCCCAGCCCGCCGCCGACAACCCGGAAGTTATACTTGCGACGCGGCTCTCCTTCCCACAATCCTTCGCGCTCTTCCTTTCTACCTTGGGCCTGGCAGAGTGAGTATGGGTGATTGGTCCCGGCTCCGGGAATCCGGCTCCATCCTTCGCTGGGACTGTGCTGGTTGGCACAGCGGGATCTCTCTTGAGCTGCTCAGGGGCTCCGTGTTCTCGGGACATGGAGTCCGGCGTTGTGTTAAAAGTCTCTCGGAGCCTGGGAGGGAGAGCGACCAGGCTTAGTAGGGGAGCCGGGTGGCAGAAGTTTCCGGGTCGGGGACACATGAGCGGCGCGGATGCCTAGGCCGCCAGGTGGCCAGCTTCGCCTTGTGCACACCTGGGCAGCTGGGGTCTGGCCAGACTCTCCGCACCCGGCAGTGTGGGGCCGAGAGGAGGGAGGACTTAGCTTGGGCTTGCCCCACTCTGCTTGTTCAGAGCGTCCTTATCGCCTGCATTTAGATGGCTCCCGCAAAGAAGGGTGGCGAGAAGAAGAAGGGCCGTTCTGCCATCAACGAGGTGGTGACCCGAGAATATACCATCAACATTCACAAGCGGATCCATGGAGTGTGAGTATCCCTGCAGGGGGCCGGGGGTCCGCGAGCTCAGTCCTTGAGCCTGGTGGTGGTTCTCAGGACCGGTGGTCTCGACATGACGCATTTCTGCAAAATCTGTATTGTACTTGAGGTGTGCACGATTTGAGTGTAATGATCTGTGTGAGGTTAGTGACTGGGAATTCGATATTACCTCGTTGAAATTTCTGGAAGAGTCAGTTTTGGAAAATTTGATGGTAAAGTGAGAACTAAATCTGAGCAGCCTAAAAGGTAAAAGAAAAGCATCCAGGGCATTTCTTCCAGTTAACTAAGAAAAGCCCTGGATGTGAAATGGGATTATTTTTGTTCTCTGACCCATACAGATATATACTAATACTGGTTGAGTTGGAATATCAGAAGTGAAAGTGGAGAGAGGCAAATAGTTAGCAGCAGTTATGAGGGCAGTGTATGTTGATGACCCATGTTGGTTGTGAAATTGGGATGTGTGGCTATTACATGCAATGATTGTGGATACTCTGGTGTTTGTATGTTTTAGTTTTTGATAAGTTTCCCCCCATTTTTGTCCATGGTGCTTACTGGTGATGATGGAGACAAAACCTGTTACTTGAGGTCGCGTTCTTTTTTTTAATAGAAAAAAAATATACTCAGTGAATGTTCTATTCAGGTACCAATTTCTTGGACTTAGCTGTCCATTAGGGCAAATATTAGCAGAGATTTAAATGTGTGGCAGCCACATTCCCTCTTACCCTTTTTATTTGGGGCTTATGGAGCGCTTAACTGTTTTGAGCTCTGTGGGGAGGCTGTTAGGGAAAAGTAGGCAGCAAGCATTTAGAGTATTAGATGGCACAACAGCACTGAGTGGAAAGTAAGCGCTGGAGCAAAAGCGGGGTGCAAATTAAACGCCACACAAATAGAACCTTGTAAAGAGTGGGTGTGAGCCATGGGGGCATTTTGGGCTTTGTTGCAAAAGTTCTGTGTGAGAATCTGCATGCATCCTTTGGTCATTTCTCAGTCCTCACTTGATCAACAATTGGCAGTTAATTTTTCTGAGACAATAATTTATTCTTGATTTTGCTTCCTGTGGCTCCATAGTATTCCTACTTTACTAAGCTCCTCAGGCTCTGCAAATCCTTCTTAACGTGGAGATGGACAAGACTCAGTCCTCTTTTCTGTTCATGCTTGGTAATAGCAACCATTCAGGCTTCAAACATCTAACTGCTATTTGATGTTTCTCCTTAGGTAAACAGGCACCTCAAACTTGATAACATCCAAACCAAACCACTGTTCTCTACTCTAACCTATTTCTCTACTGGTTCCTCCTATTACATTTATTGGTGGTTCAGCCAGTCTTGTGGGCTCTTACCTTCAGGAATACACCCACAATCTGGCAAAATGTTCTGCCTCCCAAACATGGTGTATTGTCATCTTCCATTAGCTTTCTAACTTCTGAGTGCTTGGCAATGAAACCACAGTTTACTAATCCTTTTTTTTCTGGTGGTGGTATTGGAGTTTGAACTCAGGGCCTCTGTAGTATTGATGCCATCTGATAAGTCACTTGCATGAAGTATGTGAACAATAAGAGTTTTGTCTGCTTGGCCAGCTGCTCTTGTTTCTAGCCCCTTCTGGAAGTTAGCTTGTTTGGGCTTTAGAAATAGCAAGGAGGCTGGTTAAAGTAGAGCAAAGGAAGCAATTTATATTGTCTTGATTGTGGGACACTTCTTTAGGATGTTTGGTGTATGTCTCAGGGTAGCCTTCACTTACACAAATGCTTGGCAGGCAATCTGCGCGCATTTCAGGCCTCTGCTTAGTAATTGTAGACCAGTGAATTAATTGCATTGAAGTGATCTGTGCCAAAACATGCCATCTTGTGTTTTAATATTTAATATTAAGCATCTCAAGATTATACATCTTGTCCCAAGTACTAATGGTAACTGAGCATTGAATACTGGTGAACAAAGAATTGCTTCTGCCTAGTTCAAGGTTTGCTTTCTACTTGCTTTATGAAAACATGACATAGCATAGGTATATGTCGTAAATTTTTTTGCTCATTTTTAATTTGCTTGCTTGTATTTCAATCTTAGAGGCTTTAAGAAGCGTGCCCCTCGGGCACTCAAAGAGATCCGGAAATTTGCCATGAAGGAGATGGGGACTCCAGATGTGCGCATCGATACCAGGCTCAACAAAGCTGTCTGGGCCAAAGGAATAAGGTATTACAGTTATCTGTGTTAAAAAGTGGCCTTCTACAATAACACCAGCTTGATAGTGTGGTTACTTCGAATGGAAGTATAAAAACTACTGCAACAGACTCGGGTGGGCTGGCATTTTCAGGGAGGAACTTTATCTAGGAATGTGGACTGACAAGGAGACAGCAGTGTGGGGTGGGGGAGGCATTGCACAGAGAGCAGACTTGGTCAGATCTGGGAGCAGCATGGGAAGTGGGTGGAATGAGTGCATGGAAAACCAGTGAGTGGGGATGGAGAGGCAGGAGCTGAGCCAGATAGGATCCTCTGGATTACATGGGAAGCCAAGCCCACTGTGAAAACAACGGTTCTTAACCTGGGGCAGCATCATTAGCCTTTCCACAGAATAGTGCTGAGGTTGGGAAACCTTGTTTAAAGTGGAGAGGGGCAAGTGGCAGTAGATTGGGTTATACTGGGAAGGCAGTGAAGTGCCAACCTGGAAGTAGGGATGGATCAGCTAGAGGAGGGTGAAGATGTAATATAGACTAGGTTATTCTATGGTGGGGGGGTCTTCCTCTGGGTGGTAAAAGTTTACAATTGGATGGATGATCCAGAGAGAGGCCCAGGACTCAGCTCTGACAGATGTGTGGCGAGAGGAGCAGTACCCAAGTAAAGGACCTGTGATGCCTTCCTGAAGGTACAGGGAATTGTGTTGCAAGTGCTAAGGAAGACTGACTTGGAGAGGTAGGAAGGGATGAATTTAAGAGTCTTGATGGAAAAAAAGTGGTTTGATATTTTTTGTTAATCCTTCATCACATCCTATCCTGAATCCTAACTATTTATATTTATATTTTAACTCCCCAATAAAACCAAGAGCTAAGGGAAGTCCTGTAGGAACCCAGGGCCTAGAGTGACTCCTAGCGATAATGGGAGGAGATAATCAGCTGTCCTGCTGAGAGGTTGGGTAAGATAGGATGAGAGGACTGTGTATAACTTTAACTAACAGAAAAGTCCCATGACAAGATTCTACCTGTATATATTTCTGGCTGGTCAATCAGATTAAAAGACAGAGCATTAGTAGCAGGGTGGGATGTGTGAATGCAGCTGGTGGCTAGTTTCTTGTGTGAGTGTGTGGCTGGAGTTTGAACTCAGGGCTTCATGCTTGCTCTACTGTTTAGCCCTAGGTGGCTAGTTTCTAAAAGGAAGAATTAACCTCAACATTTCTATTTTTATTAGGAATGTCCCATATCGTATCCGTGTGCGGTTATCCAGAAAACGTAATGAGGATGAAGACTCACCAAACAAGCTCTATACTTTGGTGACTTATGTTCCTGTTACCACATTCAAAAGTAAGTTTCACTCCATCCACCAAACTGTTTAAATTACCTAAGAAGTTTCCTTAGCAACCTGAATTCATCAGTTACCCAAATGCTGTGCACACCTGTATATATGTATGCCTGATAACTCCAAAAGGCAGACAATTACAACACATTTTTAAAAATAGTGTCTTGATGTGGGAAAATGAAGAAAAATTTGAAAATTGATTCATATTATGGGTTTTAAAAAGGTCCCAGGAAATGTAATACAGATCTTTCTAGAACAGATTTTTGGGGATTTGAATATTGTGATGAGTGAGCATGAAAGCTGACTGGCTGTTAACTTCTTTTGCAGATTTGCAGACAGTCAATGTGGATGAGAACTAACAGCTGAGTGGAAATAAAGTTATAAAACTGCCTTTGTTTTGGTTTTCCCTTTCTAGTTAGGATGTACTGTGCTTGTATGTCAAAAGCAGTTTCCAGGTGTGTGAACACTCAGAGAGCCTGCCCAGTCCCTGGAGTTTATTTGAATAGGGTCCAGGGTATTTTAAGATGATTCTGACAAGTACCATGGCTCTAGGTAGTTGGGAAGTTGAGGTGCATTAAAATATTTTTGCAGAAACCAGTGTGTAGGGTTCATTCAGCTACCCTTGGCCACTTTGACATTTAAAAAAATCAGGATTTTAGGTTTAATGAAAAAAACTGGCAGTATGGCTTTACACTCTGCCTGTCCATAATGGCCCTGTGAGCTCTTTTTAGTCCCGATTACATGAGGTTATGGTAATAGACATGTTAACTTAAAACCTTAAAGCAAAATTGTGCAGGGCTTAAATTTTGTTAGCTTGTACACCACTGCCATCAGAAGGTCCCTAGAAGCCAAGGTTGGATCAAGTGCTATCTATAGTGTGTTGCAGTGTGCTGAAAACATAGGTAGACAGAGGACTTTCTACCTAAGTCCGCATAAGGTGAAAGAAAAAGGACTGAGTCAATACAAAAAAAAGGTTTCTTGTTTAAAAACTCAGGCCAACATTGAAAGCATGGTTTGTACACATTTTTGGAAGGGCATATAAAGTGAACACAACCAAATATATTAAAATGGTTTCAATTACCAGCATTGAAACAAAATTAGTGCAAAACAAAAAAGCCAAATAACAATTGCACAGGCAGTGCCTCTGCTATCTTGAAAGTGAACTTGATTCTTGACCTCCCATTTTCAAAGTGAAAATAGCATGGGGCTTTTCTTATCCCTTGTTTGATACTGACATCTGACTGGTCCATCAAAGAACTGTACTAGCATCACAGTGGAAACCCACTTCAGCAAATCATAGAAGTGAAACTGAGTCAGTGTCAAGGGAACTGATGGTGTCCAACTGATTAAAGAGTAAATGGAAACACTTATTGTATTAGCTCCTCTACCCAGCCAGTTTTGCCAGGCTGCTTCTCCAGATTAACCTGGTTTCTAAGGTGTATTCAAAATGGCCTAGACTGAAATTGGGCTTATGGTCTAAAACCCAAGAAACAGTCCAGTCCGTGCTTTGGTATGGCAGACTCCCGTGTGCTCCACAGCAAACCACAATCTTGCTATAGGTTACTAAGCTTGAGTTCAGGCTGTGATTGGTGGCTTGTTTCAAAGGTTTTGAGACTGTACTGATTGATCTTAGCATTTTCAAGTTTGGGTTTAATGTCTAGTGGCTTTTCAAAAAAGTTTACTAGTGACTGTTCAGTAAGAAGTGATGCTAAAATATGTTCAAGAGAGACAGTCCAGTCCCCTTCTGTGGCCTCAGGAAATGCCTGTGAGTCCTGGGGGAGCTTTCCAGTCTCTGCAAAAACAGAGTCCTCAGGAGAAGGAGCCGAAGCCTGCAGCTCTTCCACATACTCCTGGGAGCAGCTTCCTGAGCTGCTGCTCCGCTGGCCCACTTCTCCAATCTGCAGCAGCAGGGTGGTTACAGTGGCGATGGCTTGATACAAATCATTTTCTTCTGGGTCTTCATGGAACATACTGTACAAAGTTTTGCAGAACTGGATAAACTCTCTCTAGAATTAGAAAAGTCAATATGTATCAACAACTAGGATGGAAGTATAATGAAAATTTTTTAACCTTTACACTTTGAGAAAAGCACAAACTATTAGATTTTTTTGGACAGGTAGGTAGTCCAAGCTGGCCTGGAACTCAGTTCTCCTGCTGCCTCCTCAGTCTCCAAATAGTGGGATTACAGACATGCATACCACATCTGGCTCTTCATACTACTTTTGAAGCAGCAGGATATAAGATGTATTTACTTAGCAGTGTGTTAAAGAGTGTAGACTCCTAGATGATTTGCACACTAACCCAGCAAATCAGCTGGTAGAAATTCTCCAAAGAAACCAGGCCTATGTGGACATTTAACCTGGAGTAACAGGGATGTGCTCATGGTAGGATCTAAAGGCTAGAAAATGAATAGCTATGCTCTTGTGGAAATTGAGGATGTTGTTATGCCTTCTCCCAATGCAGGATTTAGCTATGGAAAGGAATAGAAAAATGAGAACTACTATAATGATTTGAGAGAAACCCACAGTTATTTGGAAGGAAGGCAAGGTATTAACATGGCCCGTTTTGTATAGAACTTATCTGAACCGAGTGCAGGACTAAATATAAGTGACATGACCATGCTTCCAGAGACTCATCTGGTCAGCAGCTTGGCCCATTTATGATGGGAGGCCTACTGGTGTTAAGGAACTTGGTTCTATACTGAAAACTGGACAAGGTTGGAGAAAACACGTACCCACAGGCCTGAGGACCTGCTCATCTGCACGAGATAGAGACTGAGCTGCTAAGCCTAAGCAAGTGTATGATAAAGCAGATAGCAAATTCCCAGACTTCAAATTCTAAACCCTAGAAAACCCCAGTCCCAAATAAATGAAACATCTGGAAATTTGTCACAGATTAGTTGTACAACTAGTCAGAAGTATCAGGATAAGCTTCTGACTACCTTTCACAGCTGCCAACTTATTTTAATTCTGGTTCCAAATAAATTATCTGGTGATTTTTTTTTTTTTTTAAGTAACCGTGAGTATAGATAGCTCTGGGTGGTAAAACTTTTGTCGTACACCCAAGGAATAGAAGGGAAGTCTGAAAATAACTCTCCAATAGAGTAGACACAGCATTTCTTACCTGCTGTCAGATACAACTACCACAAGATGTCTTGTGGTCAAAAAAACAAGGGGGGCTGGGGTGTAGCTCAGCAGTCGAGGCACTTGCGGGCATATGTGAGGCCCTGGGTTCAATTCCCAGCATCAGAAGGAAAAAAAAAAGGCTTGAGAAACACAGCATGTTAAATTCCACTCTTGAAGGCTCTCTGCACAGCAACAGGATAACTAGTCCTATAATTTAGGAGCATTCTTTAAGCCTACATTTCTCAAATATTGGGACAGGCCTTTTCAAATTAAAAACAAAACCTAGCACCATCATGTGACATGTAGCATAGAACCCTTTTCTGGAAAATGCTCAGGTAGTAGAGAGTACACTAAGATTTTAAGATTGCCATATCCACAATAACCCCAATGCTGGTAGCACCCTAAGGAAATAGCCTTGATATAAACATTTCAAGGGTATGGTTGCCTCTTGTTTTGAAGAGCTTTGAACATCTGACTTAATGACAATTTAATCTTAACACTATGTTCAACTCCCCAAATTGACAAGATCCTGGACTTTGGAAGCAAAGAAGCCCAAGCTTAACAATGAAAGCAATCATCTGATAAAATCACTTCACAAAATACTTCCTTCTCTTCCCAGAAGTAAGTTCATACCTGGCTCATTTTGGGTAACTCTTTTTCAGTTTTATCCTTTTCTTTGGCTAAATCCTTAATCATCTGCTTCAGTTGTTTCTGATAGTCGATTGAATCACCTTGAGACAAAGGAAAACAGTAGTTTAAATTCTGAATACAAAAGGGAAAATAGAGAAAGAGTCCGGAACTCTCCATATGTCCACGGGCTAACTCCCTTTGAGATCCTGTATGGGGCTCCACCCCCCATCATTCAGAGGACCTTAAGCCCGGGACTAGGTGATCTGGCCCCAAATTATCGTGTTACTCTACAGGCAGGGATTCCACAAAGCAAATTTCATATAAAACTGAAAAGCAGTCAGTTCCATCCAAGAGTTTTTTACAACTGACCACAGATCCCCATCCACATAGCTGGGGTGTCCTGCTACAAAAGGAACCCCAGAAACAGCAATGAGAAGGAAGGCACTCCTTGATGGGTGAGGTGGCCACAGTATCTTTCTGGCTGAAAGCATTAGCCTCACAGGAGGGAGGGAGAGACAGGAAGCTATAGGAAGAGCCTCAAGGACAACCTGAGGGACACTAGGGCTGTGTGTGTGTGTGTGTGTGTGTGAGTGAGAGAGTGAGTGTGTGTGTGTAGGAAGTAGATAATGAAAGCAAATACATGCCATTGGGCTTTCCCAAAACCAGGGGTCTTGACGTGGACAACAGAGGGTTCTTCAAAGGTGACTGGCTGTCTCGGTCATTTTCAGTGAGTGCTTTAAAAAAAAAAAAAAAAGATGAACACATTTTCTGTTAATCAAAATCAACAGAAAAATTCAGCTTTTTAGGTAAGAAAGAAATAAGGTTAGCAACTCCCAATCTGGATCGAAGGGTCTTTGTGGAGCCCAGAAACTCAAATGCACAGAATAAATTAGATGTTTCACATGTATGTGGATACTGTTGTAATTAACAACATATAAATCCTCCCAGGGACATTGCTGATGTTGACCTGGGAAAAAGGGTCATTCGGTAAAACAAATACACAAACATATGTACACATATAAATGAAACTAGAAGTAAATATGCTGAATCTCTGAATGGCACCATAATTGATAATTAATCTTCATGACAATGATTTCTCTACAATGAGCACACAACTGCAATATTTAAATAATTGAAGAGTCGAAGGCCAGGAATGGTGGCTCACACCTGTTAATCCTAGTTACTTGGGAGGCAGAGCTCAGAAGGTCTGAAGTCAAGGCCTGCCCAGGGAAAATGGTGGCAAGACCCCATGTCAGCCAACGGCTGGGCATGGTGGCGTGCTGTCACTCAGGCTGCACAGGGAAGCATACATAGGAGGACTGCGGCTCAGGCTGGCCTGAGCATAAAGCAAGAATCTGTCTCAGATATAACCAACACAAAAAAGGGCTGGTGGAGTAGTTCAACTGGTAGGGTGCCTGCACAAAGTCCTAAGTTCAACTCCCAGTACAGCCAAAACAACAAAGTGGGAAAAAGCCTTATTGAACTCAATGCCACATCTTGTTAGGAGTTTTCTTAAAGCAGAGTAAAAACAGAATTATATCAGAACGCTCATACATTGCTGGTAGAAATGTAAAACAGTTCAACCACTTTGGAAAACAATTTGGTAGTTCCTCAAAAAAGTTAAAGCCAGGAGTGGTGGCTTGTATCTGTAATCCAGCTATTTGAGAGGCAGAGCAGCAGGATCATGGCTTAAGGCCAGCCCTGGCGAAGAGCATGAGACCCTATGGTGGGGAGTGAGTATTATAGGGGCACATTATGCATATGCACGAATACAGCACAATGAAACCAACCAAAAACTGCTAAAAGGAGAACAGCTGAATTCAGAAAATGAGCTGAATTTAATCAAAGACCATTATTTGCAAGTTGTAATATAACAATGAAACTCCACTGTAAATTAATTTATGCTAATAAAGTAATTTTTAAATAAGCATGAGACCCTACCTGAAAAATAACTGAAACGTAAAGGCTGAAGGAGTGGCTCAAATGGTAGCATGCTTGTTTAGTAAGTGCAAGGCCCTGAGTTCAAACCCCAGTACTGCCACAAAAAAAAAAATTAGACCTAACTACCCAAGAGAACTGAAGACATGCTTACACAAAAATGCCTACAAAAATACTCATAGCAGTAGTATTCACAATCTTTAAAAAAATAAAAAAACCCAATGTCTACCCATTAATGAATAGACCAAGTGCAGCATAGCCATTCTGTGGAGTACTAGCTAGCCATAAAAAGGAATGAGGCTGCAACATGGATGCAGTCTTGAAAAGATCATGCTAAGTGCAAGGAGCCAGGCAGGGAAGACACAGTGTATCCTTCCATTTACATGAAATGCCCACAACAGGCAAATTCATGAAAACAGCAAGTTTCCAGGCTGGGGGGGGGGTGGCGACAGACTGATTGGGAGTGACAGCTAAAAGGTAGGAAGGAGGTATTTTTGGGGGTGATGAAAGGTTCTGCAATTGATTGCAGTGATCATCACGTAACTGAGCATATGAAAAATACTAACTTGTACACTTTACATGGGTGACTTGAACATGTGAATAATAACTAAGTCTGATACTAAATAAGTTATCCAGGGGTTTGACAAAGAAAGATCCTGATTTTATAAAGATTGGAACTTACTAGTGAGTGAGTCATGGAGAATAAATCAAAGCCAAAATTTGGTTGTAATTCAATAAATTTCCACAAGAAGGCACTAAAGCTTTGACAGCTACTCTTACTTCAGAGGTTCTGGGTTTAGGGAGTTGGGGACATTTTTTTCTTTTTCTGATGCTTAGGCTTTTTCCTATAACCAAGATGTTAGGTCAGTTTTTTCCAACAACTTTACATAAAATAAATTATAGCCAGTGACACCTGTGAGAATCCACTTAGAAACTAAGTAAAAAGGCATAAACCCTACATGGTATTTGGGGCCGTGAGGATGAAAATGAACTTTCTGAGTGATAGTTACTGAGATACCACAGAGCTGATGTCCCCAAAGGGAAAATGTGTACAAAATGCAGTAATTCAAGGGTTACTGTGCATGACAGAGGACAGCACAAACAAGAGGACAACTAACTCAGGGTAGATGAGTATCCAGAAAGCAGCTGGTGAGCTCCCAACAGTCATGAGGAGCTGGAAGGGCCAGCCAACACCAGAGCACAGCTTCCCAAATCTCTTTGCCATGTGGAGTTTACTGAAAAAAACTCATGCCATTATATAGTTATAATCAGAAATGTAGAATACAATACACTGGGAGAACAGTAAATACTACACTTACATATAATCTTTAAATATACTTTTAATCTTTTCAAATGAGGTATTTAAACTTTTATAAACATCACCTTATTTTTCACATTCCTGTGAACATATAGCTCATAATTCCAGGCTATAAGTGAATGGAGAGACATTTTCTATTAAAGCTTTCATTGCATCTCACTTCAAGTATTGCACAAGTCAAAATCAGATAAAGGACTACAAACATCTGGCTATCTGAACGTCCCATTCCAGACTTGAGTTTATGTGGTGGACAACTTCATTGCTTCCAGAGCCACCACAAGCTTCAAGGAGCTTTGTTAATCAATGTGCAGTTTAATCTTCTACACCACTGTTGCTACCCCTGCTACCTTCAACCCTTTGATGCCCATGGGGAAAAACCAGTTCCACAGAAAGTGTCTTATTTCTGGTAGAAGAGTACATACACTGCTCTCAATACAACTTGGCTTTCAGATGCAATTGAGACACTAGCCATCAAAATAATACCACTCTCCACCATGCTTAGGTCTAGGAAAAGCAGTGTAGCACCTGCTCCACTCCCTCCATCCTAGTTGGAAACAGCAATCAAATTATAGCCACAAGGACTTGCACTTGGATGGATGAGGAAGTTGGAATCAGCAGGAAAATCGACCAAGATGTCCAACTTGTCTATCAGGTGTTTACTAGAGGGAAAAATCACTCAAGATAGAGTTAACTACTGGAGGCACAGGTCATAAAGCCAATTTCTTGGTGGTTTCTTGACTATTTGCATACCAGGAATCTTTAGCACCTAGGATTTCTTTTGTTAAAAAGGTTCAACGCACTCTCTTAATTTCACAAAAGCTTTTTTTATGAAGTTTACATCCTTCACTTCCCTATTCTTCAAAATGCTCAGAGGCATCTTTAACTCAAGATTCCAAGCCAGAGCCAGAACAGGTCTACAATGCAGCCAGAACTGCTTGTTATCTAGTCAAATATTGGACTGGAAACTACTGTTTTTGATGTCCTATGAAAAGCCAATTTTTGCAAATTTCCTCAGTCTTCAGAATGACTGTTTCCATTCTCAAAGGGAAGTTCCCTCCCAGGCTGGATTCATCAGTTAACTTAGCTGCTTCCAATTCACCTGGTGAGCTCTCTGTACATAGGCCATTGAGGTCATTCCCATTAACAGTTTGGTCCTTAGAGCACATAGGAGGGATCCCTTCAGTTTTTTGGATCCCAGGAAATATTTTGACACATTGGCATATTGTCAAAAATAGGAGTTTATAGTTTCAGTATAGTTTGTTAAGATAGACATAAGAAAAGGCTAACTAAAAAGTGAAGGACCAATATGGCAGGTGTAACTTGACTGCCAAGTTTTTAGGCAAGCAGGAGTGACTGCATGCTCTGTCTCTTCAGTCCCGTTGATGTTTATTTCAAACACAGAATATCCCATCCCATAATGCTATTGGAGTATGTATCCATGACACATGTCAGGACTTATCTCATCTGTAGGTATTCTTGGCAAAGCAGACCATTTCCAAATGTGCTGTGTGGTTTTGGAAAGTAGATCCATTCTAATCAATGCAGCAGATGGTAAAGTGTCAAGTGAAAAAAAGAATCAAGCATTATCAAAACCGTGGCACAGATATTTTTTCATTAACATTGAAATGACTACATGCAATTCTTGAAGAGGACTTTTAGATGACTTCTTCGAACAGATTGTCACCATCAGAAAGAAACTACTTGAAATACTTGAAGCAAAGTCCTTTTTTGTCCTAAGGATCTGAATGTTTCAAATACAGAACCTCCAACTATACTTCACTTACTGTGGGCCAGGCTGGCAGGTACAGCCTTGAAAAGCTACTCTGCAAATAAAGGAACATACTTCTTACAGTTCAGCATTCCCAGAAGCTGGTCAAGCATGCGATTTTTTCTTCTTTTATTTTTTGGCAGTACTGAGGACTGAACTGAGGGCAACAGGCTTGCTAGACAAGCACTCTACCACTTAAGCCATGTCTCAGTACTTTGGCTTTTAGTCTGTTTTTCAGATAGGGTCTCATGCTTTTGTCAGGACCATTCTCAGACCATGATCCTCCTACCTCTGCCTCTTGATAGGTGGGATTGCAAGTGTGCACCACCACACATGGCTTGTTTTTTGGGGAGGATCTTGCTAACTTTTTGGCAGGGCCAGCCTCAAAGTGCAATCCTCCTATCACTGCCACCCAAGGAGCATGTGAGATCCTTCTGTGAATCAACCAGCTCCCTCCTTTCTTTCACTGACAAATATAACATGTTTCTGGCTAATGTGACTAGAATTTGAATGTAATCACTTTTTCTTATCAAGTATTTCACAGTAACAAAGCTCTCCCTCATTCACACATATATTGCTATACTAATGTGTAATTGTATTTTAGGATTCAAATTATAACCCTGGCTAAATGTCAGAAGTGAAGTATTTATAACCACATTGTGTCAATACATATTAATGTAATTTCATGTGCTCTTTCAATTTTTAATTACGTTCACTTAGATGTTCAATATTTTAAGTCCTTTTGTGATAACTATCCTTATCCACAATGCAACCTGGAATTATTCAACATGTTCTTTTTAATTCAACTTCTTGACAAAACTTCCTTTGGACAGCAAATGCTCTTGATTACGTTAAGACCTCAGAAAGAAACCTCTGTTCCTTCCAACAGAGCTGAACACAAAGAATGGACAGCTCAAATTTCACTAGGGTCAGTATGTAAAGAACAACATTTGGGAGAGGGGTTTCTGGGGATCCAGTCCAGGGCCCCTCACCTGTTTGGCAAGTGCCCTATCACTGAGCCACACCCCCAACAAGAACATCACTCACTGTGGGCCAGGCTAGCAGGTACAGCTTTGAAATGCTACTCTGTAAATAAAGGAACATACTTCTTACGGTCCAGCATTCCCAGAAGCTGGTCAAGTGAGGTATCACAGTCCTTCTCACTACCAAAGCTCACAGAAAGCCTCCAAATGGCTCACTTGTGGGTGTCCTTTGACCCTTCCAGTGTATCCTTCTCAGTAGTTTATTTGCTGTTTCCTTCTAATGAAAATAATGTTCTTCTAGGAAGTTCAGTTCTAGAAGTCCGATTAGTGGAGCCAACTTAGCCAAATGATTGTAGATTTATTAATCTACAAAGAAAACTCAGGACTTCATAGTCTTCTGGAATATTCTTCACTTCTATGCCACCTGACATGGATACCTGACATGGTATCAAGTAATCTAAGATTCTTTTCTAGTTCCTGTGGGAAATAGTGTTGGAATTACTCTGGAGCTAGGAAGCTTTTCTGTTGGCTTAGGCTCTACAGTGCACCAGAGACCTGTCTAAACCCAGCTCAAAAGAACCTTTGTCTCCTGGACAATGCCTGCAGAGGGCCGAGCTTTCTCTATTCAGGTGGATTTTTGTGGCAAGCGCTGATGTTACTTCCTCTGGTCACACTGCCTCCTGGCCAGGAGAGAAATTAGACTTGGAAGCAGAGAGAATTCTTTGGATACACAAATTCAAATTTGAGGGAATCCTTATATTTTCTAATCAGTGACGTTAAACTTTTCCCGGTGAGTGTGCTCATCAACTTTAAATTAAAAAATATTACCTATGGTGAAAAGTACATATTTGTTAAAATCATTTAAATGAGAAGTACTTAAAGGAACTGTGAGTCTTCATGGCCTTGGGAAATTGATATTTTTAAATAGAGGTTCTAGGTTGTCTACATTCTTAAGACTTTTTAACTGCATCAAAAATTCAAGTATCAAGCTACAAGTGCCAAGCACTGCCAAAAAGTCAATTATTAAATAAAATAATAATTTATCAAGTCTTCCCTTCCATTCAACTTAATTTAAATTCAGAGTCATACAGTATAAATGCTATAATCATATAATGTTAAAAAAAGTTTCTGAAGGGCTGGCAGAGTGGCTCAAGTGGGAGATGAGGCCCTGAAGTTCAAACCCCAGTACCCCCCAAAAACAAAGTTTTGAACTGATTTCTGGAAGCATGAAGGCATACAGATACTTTTTAGAAATATAATTGTAATTTGGAAACATAGTATTCATAATAAAGTCATATCAAGAATCAAAAATCTCAAATGATAATTCCAAAGCCAATAAAATTGAAAATAAATCAAGATAGATTCTATCTGTACTATCTATACAACTTTTGTACAAATTATTCCAAGATGAAAAGTTTACTTAAAAATTAAGATTAAAATAATTGAAAAAAATAAACTCAATCATGTTCTATTTATTTATTTATTATGGACAATCATGATCATGAAAAGACAATGATGAGAATGAAGGAACTGCGTATCTTCCATGTTAGTAGGAAAACACTTGTGAGAAATAAGGGACAATTAAATAAAAAATAAAAACTTGGTAACTGCAGTTGGCATAAAAGGAGAACTTCACTGATGCTAAACAATTTATACCAAAGTCATAATGGGTCCCTGGAAGGTGGCAGAGGCGCTACGTGTGACAGTAGAGCTCCCTGGGGACATGTGCTTAATGTATCAGGCATCAATTCAGTAATGGCTGAATTCTGGACATATACCCAGAAACCCACCATTAAGGTCCATGTGCATTTTCAGTTTTTATATATGCATTTTTAATAGTCATAAAAGCCACCAGGATCTCATGGCCCTGGAAACCTGTAGAGCCAAGTGCCTCCCTAGGCTCCTCACTGAGAAGTTCTGTCCAGGGCATCATCCAACGCCAGGCCCACAGCACTGAGATGGCAGTACTCGCGGACTCTCCCTTATCTCTATTAGTTTTTAAAGATCCACGAATACTTTCAGGCTTCCTTGTTCTTATTCCTGCAAAGTCAAGGCTGACGCCAGAGGTTTCAGAATGACTTCCTTTGTTCTGAGTTAACACTGTGTAAATTTGAAGGAAGTATGATCTTATGTGCTGAAAAAATGAAATGGTGTTCAAAAACAGTGACCTAAAATAACAGTCCATTAAGGTAACCAGGGTCTTGCTCCCAACGCATCACAGAGGCCAGTGGTTCTCAAGCCTAGAGAGTCAGCAGTTTGGGATGAACTCAGGAGCCTGGTGTGACAAGCCTTCCAGGTGGTTCAAGGGCACCTTCAAGTTCGGCAGCCCAGCCCTGGGTCATGCAGTACAGTGCCCAAAACCTGGGATCTGAAACCCCAGAGTAGAAACACCTATTTCCCACATCTAAGTGGAATTTAAAAAGGGAAGGTCAGTGTCATGCACAAGGCTGATCTTATGTTGAGGCAGAGCCCAGTGTGAGTTTTTTATTTGACTTTCTTATTCTTACCTGGAGGGATATGAAGCCTGTACAGCAGTTTAATTTTCTCATTCATTTCTCCATTGTACATAATATCTGCAATTCAAGAGAAAGAGAAATTCACTGGATACAAATGGTCAAAGTACATTTATCATGGCAGATAATCGTGTGGAGAGGTACTCAGGAAGGCCTGTTGAACCCTATGCCTCCAACCCAGACACTCGCCGTGTTAGAAATGAAAATAGTAAGAGCAGTGGCCCATGACCAAGCTACAAGGTAACCTCATCAATGTGTCTAGCCTTGTACTTCTCAAAGATTTTAATTATATGGACACCGTTTAGGAACATAGTTCCCAACAGGTCACTGCCACACCCTGGGTGCCATGGAGAGCAAGTCAATGGTCTTGTACATTGACTTCCTGAGTCCCTTCCTCTCCCCTCCCCCATAAGGGAGCATCAGGGTGGTCCTGAGAGTAGGCTGCAGAGCAAACTTTTAAATTTAAATCGTAAATCATGTCAGGCAGTCGCAAATGCATTTCACTGCAGGTCCCCCTGCTCCATCCACTACACTGAGTCATACCTAGGCAGGTCACGAATGCCTTGAATTCCAGCAGCTGGTCCATGTTATCATCCAGAAGCCTGAAAGTCCTCTCAGCCAGGATCTCTGTATGGGACCCACAGGTCCACGGCGACACAAGCTGGAATAGGTGCGCAAACTGCCGGCCATCTACGCGGTACTGCTCTGCATAGGGCCTGCTGGGGTCATGGCGTGAGGCCACTGGCCTGGGCTGCTCCCAGTAACAGCTCATCATGTGTTCTCTCTTGAAACGACGGGCAGAGAAAGCTGTGACAAGCGCACCCTGGGAGGTGCACACTTAAGCCAAGCCCATCCCGGTCTCTCTCACGGGTACTGTGGCTTATTGAGCTCAGACTACCACAGCACAAGTGAGAAGGATATTTCTTACAGCATCACCACTCCATCCAGACATGTTTCTTTCTTAGCCTTACCCATGTGAGTATGAAGTTTTGACCATTTTTTATTAAATTTTATTCTCGTTGTTGTGGTAAAATACACACATAACACAAATTTTGTCATTTTATCTAGTTTTAAGTGGACAGTTTTAATTATGAAGAAGATTATTTTATTCTGATTATTTCCACTAAAAATCATTATTTGAAAATCAGAAAGGACTGGACAAATCTATCGGCTACAGAAGGAACTAGTTAACCTGGTTACCTGTGAGAATGTCAAAAGGGGTGTGGACCCAGAGGTAGAAGTAAAAGTTTTTTTACTGCTTTCTTTTTATTTTTTTCTGAATTTTGTACCACCTGAATATATTAACAATTTAAAAAATTAACAGTGAAAAAAGACAAGCTGACATCTTGACAGAACTGGCCCTGTCACTGGGGTGGGTTGTACTCTTCAGATGCATCGTCTCCTCTCTGGACAACTCAGCTCCCAAAGCTGAGTTCCCGACTGCAGAGCTCTTTGCCACTTGAAGACCTCTGTCCTCAAGGATGTGACAGAAGCAAATGCAGATGCTATAGTGTGCAAGCCAAAATGCCATTTGTAATTTGAGTTCTGTATTCCTTGCAATCACATGCTTTCAATAGCCACCCCAGAACTGTTAAAGGTACCACAGGAACTTTTAGGTGGGAAACAAAGTTTGAGTAAGTTTTCATTGTGAAGAACCCAAGACACACCATGAATTTCCACGCATATGGTCATGCCAAAGGCCTGTAAAATCCTGCCCAGTGGAAAACAGCTGTCATATATAGACCAAAGATTAATATAACTACTCAACACAGACTCACAGAAAAACAAACAATGTATGAATATGGAAAGGAAAAGGGCAGACCCCTGAGGCACCACATCCAACAAGGGCAGGCTGGGTGCTATGGTTGAGGCCTGGAACTCCCTCATCTTCCCAGATTCCCATACCTTGAATAAGTTGTAGAGTTCCTCCAGGTCTTCAGGAAGAATAGAGACTTCAGGGATAACAACACGGAGCTTGAGGAAAGAACAAACCGTGATGGAGTGAATTCCAGGCCCGCGACCCTGGGGCTGGAGGGCAGTCAGTGGAAGGATGGGGCTTCACCCTCCTAGTGGGGGACAACTGGGGCACTGTGCCACAGCTTCCCTTATGTACTGGCACCTTGTCTCCAGGGCAGCATATATCCCTTTCTGACACCAAGACTGCCTTGTAGCACCTCTGCAGGTGTTCTGTCTTCAACCTCTTTTCAGTTCACACATAGTGCCTCTGGGAAAGTGTGTTAAGCACTAATAGAAGTCCAAAAGCTAACACAGCCAGGTGTGGTGGCTCATGTCTATAATCCCAGCTACTCATTCAGGAGGTGGAGACTTGGAAGTATCATGGTTTAAGGCAACCCTGGCAAACAGTTAATGAGACCTCATCTCAACAAGTAAGCCCAAATGCTGGTGTGCACCTGTAACCCAAGCTATGCAGGAGACATAGGTAGAAGGATCAGTCTGAGGCTGTCCTTGGGGAAAATGTGACACCCTATCTGAAAAATAACCTAAATTTAAAAGGTTTGGGAATGTGGTTCAATTGGTAGAGCTCCTGCCTAGCAAGTGTGAGGTCCTGAGTTCAAACCCCAGTAAAACACACACACACACACACACACACTCACAAACTCACAATCATACACGTGCACACTCACAATCACATACACACACAATCACATACGTGCACATACTCACACATACACACTATCACATACACACACAATCATACTTACACTCACACACATACACACCACTTACACACTATCACACACACACAATCACACACTCACATACACACAATCACACTCATATACACATACACACAAACACACAATCACTCACACACACATACACAATCACAAACACACACACTCACACACAGCTAGCAGAGGCACAGCACAGACAAGCAGATGCTTCAGAATGACAGCACTCGCTGCAGGCCATCTGCCTGGGCATCTTATACACCATGCCGCATCTAATCCTACATCATAGGTGTGACTTCCAGTCTACAGTCAGGGAAACTGATGCTCCTAGTAGTTGACATTGCCCACAGTCTGACTCCCAAATCTCATGCTGTTTCTATAATGACACCCCTATTAAGTTTTTAGTTCAGCACAAAAAAAAAGAAGAAAAGGAAAGGAAGGGGGGAGGGGAGAGGAACAGAGAAGAGTGGGGGAGGAGGGGAGAGGAGAGATGGAGGGGAGGGAAAAGAGAGAAGAGAAGGCAGGGCCGCGCTTCCAGGTCAGCTCCCAAGTCCCACGAGCCCACTATGCAATGTCCTCTGCTCACCACATTCTGCTTAGTGGTGTCCTCGTGGCCTTGGAGCACCCTGATCCTGTGCTTGCAGCGCAGGTGCTCAATCTGCTCCACAGACTGGTCTCCAAATTTCTACAGGGACACAGGGACCACTCACTCAGAGTCCCTGCTGTGCCCAGATAGAGGAAACCCAAACCCTCCCTCCTTGTCCCCCTCCCAGGCAGAGAAGGGGCACTCACAGATGGGACAGGAGCTCCCATACCTCATAGGAGTCCCGGATCAGATCGGCAATGTCAGTCACAGGGTAGGGCTCCTGGTCATCAGAGAAAAAGGCATGGTGGCTGCCAATGGGGGGCCGTGGGCTGTCTTCATTCTTAATGTGATCTAAAAATCTGAGCACACCACCCCGTTAAAGGTCAAGGTCTACCCTCAGCTGGGCCCCATATAACACCTGCTACCTTTACAGGGCATCAGTGTGCCAAGTGCATTTTCAAACTGCAACACCTGGAGAAGGGCAAGGCAGCCACTACTGCCAATACTGTGGTCATGCTAGAGGAAAGGACAGCCACTTCCAAAGCCAGGCTTATGGATCTGGCTCTGCATAGGATTCTGGGCCCTGAGGCTCTGCAGTAAAATCAGAACAAATTCTGCGCATGTGTGCAATTTGTGAAAGGAAACCACCTCAGTGGTGTTTGGCTTACCCTTGGCCACCATGTACCCAGGTTATAGTGCTCAATATAGTGTGATTTTCCTTTCTCTTCCACTCACCTGTCCCCATACAGAAAGTGTAGGAAACCTCCAGATGGCTATTTGAGACCAGCATTTCTTGGTGCCCCAGCCCTGTTCAAGGCCACTGAGTATATTTAAGACTTAAGACATTCAATCTTCTTAGCTAAAAATATTTATAGCCCTCTTCTCCCGACCCTCAACTGGTAGAGGAAGTGAGGGAAGACAGTACCCTTCATCCTACGCCAGTGTCATTGCCACATGGTAAACCAGCTCTGAGGAGACCACAGGGAACAGGTGGCAAGACTGTGGAAAAGAAGCTCCCACAGAGCTAGAACACCCACTACAGCTCCTCCTGTGGTCTTCCAGCTGCTACCTACTTCATCCCCAGTCAGCCACAGGAGAACATGGCTGAAGCTCACCTGCTGAGGATCATCAAGGCCTGGCCATCATCCTTGCTGCTGCACAGCTCCTCGGCATTGGCTTCAAGCACAGCTAGCCCCAGCTGAAAGATGGCTTTGATCCCATCATAGAAGAAGCAATCGACAACATTTACCGCGCTCTCCAGAGGCATGATGCTGAGAAACAGGGTCAGGAACCACGAGAGAGAGATGGATGCCAGGGCTGAGAGGTCATTCATGTGCTCTGCCAGCTCTGGGAGGTGCTCCTTGATGAGCTCCTCAAAGACAGACTGGTCCACTTGAGCCCCTGCAAAAGGAAGGCCACAGAGCTCTGGTGGGGAAGGGGTCACACTCTATAAAAGTCAGCCTGAACCCAGAAAAGGACCTGTGCTCAGTTTACTGATGTTTGACATTTTGATCAAGGTATTCAATGGGTAAAGGATAGTCTTTTCAAAAAATAGTGCTTGAAGCTGGGTGCCAGTGACTCACTCCTATAATCCTAGGTACCAGGGAGGTTGAGATTGGGAGTATCGGAGTTCCAGGCCAGCCTGGGCAAAAGTTCGTAAGACCTTATCTCAATAGAAAAAAGCTGGGTGGTGGTGTATACCTATCATCCAGCCATGGCAGGAAGCCTACAACAGGAGGACTGCAGTCCAGAATGGTACGGGTAAATAACCTGAGCAAAAAGGGCTGGAGGTATGGCTTTACCTCATACAGAAAAACACACTTGAAATAGATCACAGGCCTAAATACAAAGCTAATCCTATAGAACTCCTAGAATAAGAACAAGTCAAAATATCTTAGGACATAAAAAATACTAACCATAAAAAAACCTATAAATTGGACTCCATTAAAATTAAAAACTGCTATTCTTCAAAAGACAACATTAATAAAATGAAAACAAAAGTGTTAAACTTGGAGAAAACATTTGCCATGTCTTATATCCAAAGAATCCATAAAATTTAGTAAGAAGGCAACAACCAATTTTTCTTTTTAGTAAGCTAAAGATCTTTTTTTTTTTAGTGGCACTGGGGTTTGAACTCAGGGAGTTATGCTTGCTAGGGCCTCAAGAACTATTTGCCCAAGCTGGCTTCGAACATGATCCTCCTAATCTCTGCCTCCTGAGTAGCTAGTGGTGGCTGTGAGCCACCGGTACACAGCTAACAACCTAAAGATTTAAACACTCAAAAGAAATGATAAACAAACGGTCACTATGCACAAAGAACTATGCCCAATAATCATCTGAGAAATGCAAATTAAAACCACCAAGGTAAATAACACTTCTAACACACTGGCATGGCTAAAGTGAAAAAGACAAACCTAAATGTTACCAAGGACTTAGAGACCTGAGACTCTCCTAGACTGCTGGCATGAAGTATATGAACACATTCCCCTCACTTTGGAAAACCAACAATTTTTTATTAAGTTAAAATTACATCTAATCTATGACCCAGCAATTCTCCTAGGTAAACACTCAAGAGTAACAGCAATACGTGTTGCACAAATAGACTTCTTCATGAATGTCTGTTGCAATTTTGTCACAGGCCCAAACTGAGAACAACTCAAATGCCCATCAACAGGTGACAGTTACAGGCAAATCATGGCATGAAGGTAGTACCATACTGCAGTGATGTGCAACAAACTAGTGGCGCGCCACCAAAGTACAGATGCCTATTGCAGACGTTATCTAGTGTGAAGGAAGGCACACACGTGCGACCACATAGGCCAAAATCATCTGTGGTGACAGAAACCAGTACCGAGCATTGCCTGTGTCAGAGAGGGGGCAGAAGGAGTTTTCTGTGGTGATAGAAATGTTCCAGATGTGCCAGTGCCTCAAGGTAGTGTCACACACAGTCATAAAGGGCTGAGCTGTCACACACCAACGTTCATTAACCAGTGGCTTTGACAACATGCAATGACACCGCAGTGCTTTTTATTCCTTTCTACTCTGTACATTAGACCACCTACCACAACACAAAGTGAAAAGGGAAGCGGGTCAATTAACCACTCAGGCAATGAAGGGAGCCAGTGAAGATGGTCAAAGGTGAACTTGTGTCCAAAAACACAAAGGAAGGGCTCCTCCCGTCTAACCACACCCCTCCTCCTTCCTGCCCCAGAGTGTCACATCCTTCTGCTCTCCACAGTCTTCAGATGTCCCTTCTTCTTGCCTTGCCCTTTACATCCAGTCAGTTGCCAAATTCTGCCTCATATTGGTTTTTTTGTTTCTGTTCCTGCACTGCCGCCTTCGTTTTAGACCACTTCCTTCTCTCATCTGGATTAATAATAAGTGTCCCTAAAGATGTCACTAAACCCTAACACTTTTTGTATTACTTCTTCACCAGAAGGCCTCCTGTCCACAGAGACAGTGCACATTTAAATCTCAACCACATGAATGACAGAGGCTCCAGGCACAGGCTATGTGGATAGAGATTTGCCTAGAGTCCTGCTGCAGCCCTGAAAAGTTCATGTGTTAAAGGCTTGGTACTGGAAGGTGGGGAACCTTTCAGAGGTCGGGCCTAGTGGGAGATCCTTGGGTCACTGGAAGCACGAGATTGCTCTCCCAACAGGGTTGTTAGAAAAGGAGCAAGCCTGAGCCCATCCAACTCTCTCTCTCTCTGCTTCCTGGCTAGAGATGTGACCACCTGCTCAACATGTGCCTTCACCATGGGGCCCTCACCACAGCTGACACAGGCACCATGGCCTCAACCTCCAAAACTGAGCTGAATAAACCTCTTTCTCTTCAGAAGTAGCCTGAGTCAGTTATTTCACTATAGTAACAAAAACCTGACTAGTACAAGCCCAGATAGCATCAAAGAAGCTTTATGACAGTCTCCTTCTATATGTGGGAGCTTGTATCAGTGCGGCTCTGAGGGTCTCGGGCTCTGTCCCACCAGCCTCCTCTCTTATGGGGAACATAGGACTATCTCCATCTGAGTTTCTGGGTGACCAAGAGGAGTGCCCTTCCCTTTCTAATGCAAAGCCACTCATTTTTACATTTTGACCTGCCTCTTCAGCCTAGAGACTTTCCTTTTTCAAGTTCCGTTATCCATCTAAAACCATGTGTTTTTACTCCAAAATCTGTAGGAGCTGACATCAGGAGCTTACTCGAGTTAACCTGCTTTCCCCATATTGCGAGATCTACAAAAAGAATTTTCTGAGTTAGTTTTGCAGAGGCTAGCTGCATGGTGCACAGGGATCTTATGACCAGGACTCACGGTGACCATCTTCCCAGCCTTTGTCACCATGCCCCAGATACAGAGGAGGAAGGAAGGTGGTTTACCGATCACTCGGTGGTTGAAGTAATCGGGCAGCATCCGCTCACACACGGCAACCAGCAGCCAAAAGGCTTCTTCTTCCTTGGCGTACAGCAACAACACGGAGGTCAGGATGTTCATAGACTGCTCAGAGGGTCACAGAAGGGACAGTTACTGACCAGGCCACATGATGGCACAGAGACATTAAAACTACACAACACACAAGCCAGGGCTGGTGGTGTGACTTGGTGGTAGGGTGCTTTGCTTAGTATGCATGAGGCCCTGGATTGGATCCCTAGCACCACAAAACAAAAACAAAAGTGCACAAAGTGATTCACAAGAGGAAGGGTGCTGTAGGTGAGGAATCTAGCACACTTGGGAAGGGAATATGACCATGACATGACATGGCCATCAGAGAGACACCCAGCTGAGCCATCAGCTACCATTCAGTCCCTGTCTCCTGCCAAGGAGGGCTGAATTTAGCTGTGATACAGGCCTAAGGCTTGGCTTGAATCTACCTACTCTTTTGTCTGTTCACAAAGACAAACATGCACATACAAACTTCATTCACCCATTGATTTCGCTTATTCACAGGAAAATGAAATTAGAAAACCTAACTATTTAAATGTTAGGGCTTATCTTGTCTAGTCTTGTGCTGGCTTTTGTTATTTTAATTTGCTGATTATTATTTTGTGCTTGGTGACTACTTCCTTCCACTTAGGTATGGCTCAGAATGCCTCTTACCTCCACTCACATTTGCTACAGGACAGTGACTTGACCTAGTCATCTTTTCCTCCCCAAAGGGCACTCCTGTTTCAACCCCTATAAATCCTGTGGCGGTCTGAAGTTCCATTGGTTCCATTACATAGCCTGACAAGGGGCCTTGACAACGAGCCTGTGAGCACGTTCCCCTTTTTAGGCACTGGGTACAATCTGAAATCTCAAATGATCATCCTGCTTCTCCATACAGATTGGGTTCCTTCCACCCTTCTTTGGTGTATTCTTTCTGGGAAAGGACTGAGCCCAGTGCCTTTTCATAGGACAGTCCTCAGGAAGGCTGACAACAGAGCAAATCCCTTGGTGGGTCAACACAGACAGACTATGGGATTTCTGCACCCCGGAACACCTCACTTCACCTGACAGTATCCAATCTTGGGATTCCGATAGGCATAAGCTGTCAGCACCCTCCTCAGGGCAGCAATTCCTGTCTCATTCTGGAAGGCAGGGTGCTCCGGCAGGGAGCGATGCAGGTCCCGCTCTATCTCTTCAGTCACCAGACAGCACCTCCCCAGGGACTGCTCCACCAGATTCCCGTAGTAACCAGGGTGTGAAGCAAGGTCCGTCACAGCATCTGAGGGTTGGAAAGCAGTATTTCAAGGAGAAATGATTACCAGGTGTGTCACTACCGAGAGGGGCTCCTCCTGCTGGATGACCCCAGTGGGTCTCCTTGCTCATTGAGGAATGTAAAATATTTTGAGAATATACCAAAGGACTTCATTTCTGTCATACAGCCTGACCGAAAACCAAAACAGAAACAAAATAGTTTTTCTAAGAATGCTCTACAGAGACAGGAAAAGGTCATGTGAAAAATTACTTTCAGGGGTGGGGGCACAGCTCAGTGGGACAACATGTGCTGAGCAGGTGCCAGGTCCTGGGTTTATCATCTGCACATACAAAAAAGAAATCACTTTATTAACATATGCTTTTTTTTTGGTGATACTGGGGTTTGAACTCAGGATCTTAAGCTTTCTAGGCAGGTGCTCTTTCACTTAAGCACCTGTCCACTTTAATATGCTTTTAATGTGCTGCAATTCTTAGTTACTGTATATATATACACACACAATTTTCATGCATTAATTCAACAAGAAATTATTGAGCAACTTGTACAAGGCATACAAGAAGGCATGACTAGAATTAAATAAGGAGAACAGATCATTACCAAGGAGCCCACACTGCCAACTGAGCTTTGAAGGTGCAAACCAACTCAGGATGACCAAGTACAAGAAACTCTCCAAGAAGGGTGGGGGAGGAGGGCAGGGTGGAGAAATGACCCAAACAATGTATGCACATGTGAATAAATAAACAACAAAAAGAAACTCTCCAAGCAGTAGTCACCTTCAGAGGGGCTGGTGATGTCCACAGGTGAGTGACTGCCAATGGCAGGACACGTGAGACTCTGTTCACTCATCGGCCTGTCCCACACCTGTGGTTTCAGCCAGCATTTACTCCCTGGAAAAGGCAGCCAGGTGAGTCTCCAAGGGCAGGGAGAGCAGAAATGAACCCAATTCTACCTTAAATTGTAGTTACATTTCAAATTCTGACTAAGCATGGTAAAAATACCCTCTCTAGCTTCAACTCTCCCCCTGAAGTAGTAACCGGCTGCTCCTCATCACCAGTGTGACATTTGCATGTAATGAACAGCATTTACACCATTGCTGACACTCAGTTATGAAACACTCTAGAAATCTTCCCATCAAAAAGGAAACATTCTGTCACTAGGGAAAGATAGCTCTTCATGAACTGATGTTCCTATATCCCAAGTGGAAAAATACAGGCCTGCATGCAAACAGTGTGAGCGTGCGTGTCTGTGTGCGTGTGTGTGTGTGTGTGTGTTGTGTGTGTGTGTGTTGTGTTAAAGAGACTTGGAAGAATACAGACCAATGGCATTACATCGTCAGAGCGGGGATGATGAGTAGTGTTATCCTCTTTGCTCACTCATCTCTTTGTTATTTTTCAACTATGAATATACAGGCTTTATTAAACACAAAAACACAGGAGACATTTTCAGTTTTAAAAGGGCCACCCCTGAAAGAGCAGGTGGTGTAGGACCAGGGAACGGGACAGAGAAATGTGCAACTGTGACTCCTGTGGTACCCCCATGCCTTCAGGGAAGGAAGGACCAATAGAAACTACTCTGAGGGGTGCATTTAAACACCAAGGCCAGTCAGCAGTGCAAGAAGACTTTTCTGTTTAGTACACAGGGCTCATACCCCTAAAGACACTTCACTTCCAGGGGAAATCTCAAAAGAATTCTCAGCACCACAGATAGAATGACAGAGTCTTCTTTAAGAGAGAGGAGATCACTTTGTCCAGACTTCACATTTCCTAAGGAGGCACTGCAGCGCAGAGACCTTGGAGAACTTGAACGAGGTCCTACAGCTAACACAAGAAGGGCTCCCAGGTCCATGGCTAGGAATTTACAGAAATAATCCAAAGACAGATGACTTCGTCTACAGATACACACTGTCACATTAGGCCTGCAACATTTGGCCAGAGCACACTGAGACCCTTACCAGAAAAAAGGAGCCAGAGCCTTCCACGCAAAGATTCAGGGATTCCCATGGCCACAAGCTTCCGGATCTTCTCTGTACGAAACATACACACGGTTCTACCATATTCCACAAAGTGGTCATTCCAGAGACTGATTTTTATCTGTTCTTGGGACTAGAAACACAAACATTTGTTCATGTACAAAGAAGCCAGTCCACATCTGCCACTATAGCCCATCCCTGATCTGTCATGGCAGAAATAAGGCCTGTTTACCAGGGACCAATGGGGACAGCCAGTGACACTTAAATTTGTGCAGCAGATATATTTGAACCTCTACTAGGCTCAGAGGATGCCAGGATGAATAGCACGAAGTTGAGAACCTGGTGGGAGAATTTACACAAGCACGATGTAATTTCCTTGGCAAAGTTAAAAGGAGAACATGTCCACCCAAGTACTAAAGCAGCCCAGGTCAGATGAAGGGTGGTGGAGAACCGGGGGACATGAGGAAAAGTGTCCTTGGGTGTTGACATGGAGCCAACTGCTAAAACACAGTTCAGCTCAGAGGATGGGGGGAGCAAGAGGTGTCACAATTAGCCCCGAGCTTCGTGATAGCCAGAGAGAAAGCTGGAACCTGAAGCAAACATTCTCATACTGGGGTTTAACCTCACAGCCTCATGCTTGCTAGGCAGGTGCTCTACCACTTGAGTCACTCCACCAGCCCTTGCACTGTTTCTCTAGGTAACTGCAAAGACCTTAAATTATCCCTAGATAGCAGAACTGTTTAGAGCCTTTTGGAAAGGACATTTATAATGACTTTTAATAATCTACACTCTCCACAAATGGCAGAATTACTCACAGAAGTCCAACATTCACCTGCATTTAGTTAGTAACAGTTAGTTGACTACCTATGGATAAAAAAGGAGAAGGTTCGGTTTGAGTAAATAAAGCTAACGATTGGCCACAGAGGATGCTATGTGACCAACAAGTGGCTTAGGCAACAATGCTCACAGCCACTGCCTGGTCCTTGTGGTTGACACATGGCTTTCCACCTGTCAAAGTACAGTTTCTGGTCTAGTCACCAACTGTACATGACTTCTGCCTCAGATTTTCTCTGTAAAGAAAAAAATCTATAAATGTAGCAAAAATTACTTTCAGCTCAGTTACACTAGAAGACAGGCAACCTCTGTTCCAGACAGAAAGAGGAATCCCATAATGAGCTGCACACACACAGCGTGGCTAACAAGACAAAGACATGATCTGCACCTGGAAACCCACGGGACAGCACTGCTAGCTGCCCAGGCTACATAGCAAGAGTGGCCATGAACGGAACAGGTGGGGACATCTGTCTGAAACTTTCTTAGTGCCTAGGGGAAGGAAGAGGGGAGCACTTGCTGCTGAGGTCCCTGGCCACCTATACCCACCAGCTAGCTTTTGTGGCCACGTTCCATGGTAGCCAGACAGCTGGGTGACCACTCATGCCCACAGACAGCTCTGCAAAGCCCGCTGGAGCAGAGGCGGAACCCCTCACTCACCAGGCGGGAGTCAGGGCTCTGGAAGATGGCAGTCAGGGATTCAGGCTGCGGCAGCGAGCTCCTCTCCTTCTCACTCTCCTGCTGACTTTGAGAAGACTCCACTGCAAGACCCCCAAACCTGTGCTCGCTGCACGCGCTTGCCGAGTAAAACACAGGGGAGGTCTATAAGGCAGGAAAAAAGCAAGAAGAAACAGGCACGGTCACTGTGACTAAAAATAAAGTATTTCTTAGAGGAAGTCACAGGATACAGGTCCCAGCAAGCCCAGGTCCATATCTTATGCCTTAAGGATGCCAAAACTTCCTCTCAGTAGGTCACAGCTGCCCCTGAGACCTGGCTGTCCCTACCAGTCCCTCTGGTCTATGCAACACCCGCTCAGGACTGCAGTGTATCAGAAGTGACACTAGACAGGTGCACAAGCCCAAAGGTCTCCAGCGCATTTGTCTCATGCCCAGGTAGGTCAACTTTCTATCCTCTCCCTTTGGAGACCACTGCCCTGGAGGTGGGGAGAAAAGGGGTTTTCAGTTATGGACATTCACTACTGTGAAGACTCCTACCATGTCATGGTCACTTGTAGAGGTATCATAATGCACGGGGTGGTTGGCATGGACCTGCTTCAGTCTCACCAGCAGGCTCTCCACCAAGGTCTCTCTGTCCTTAAGCTCAATGAACTGGAAGGCCATCTTGCTCCTGATGCTGACAATGATGGGGTTAGGCAGCAGACTTGTGTCCTCCATCTTCTCAATGCTCACTACCTGGTGCAAAAATGACCCATAAAGTACAGTGTCCAGTTACGTGTTTGTCAAACATCCCAAGACAGAAGGCAAATCCAAGTCACTAAAAGAGGACTGGCACGAGGATTTGCGAGTGTGCAAGGCAGTACTATCCACAATGGCTGAAAGATAACAGCAGCCCAAGGTGCCATGGACAAGTGACTCGATAAGCACACTCTGGTATAGGCAGATAACAGAATGTCATTCAGCCTTCAAAAGGAAATTCTGACACACGCTGCAGCATGGATGAACCTTGAGGACACCACACTAAGTGGAATAAGCCAGTCACAAAGAGACAACTTCTGGATGATTCCAAATTACCTATAGTAGTCCAATTCATAAGGGCATGGTTGTCTAGTGGGTGCCAAGGGCGGGGGGAGACAGAGAGGGAGTGAGCATTTAATGGGGACAGAACTTCAAGTTGCAAAGATGAAAGAGTCCTGCAGACAGGAGGTGGTGATCAGTGTAGAACAATGTGACTGTACTCAATGCCACCGAATGCCACACTTAAAAATTATCAATAAGGCAAACTCTATGTTATGCATGTATTTCTCATCTCACTGACAAGAATTTTTGTAAAATGAAAACATCTACTGCAGAATAATGGCATGGAGGTAGGAGATGGTATGAACGAAAGACCTGAGTTTACTAAAGAACAGTGCTCAGGGCATTTCATACAAGAACCAAGACTCCACAGGTCTGACGGGTAAGAGCTGTGGGTTCTGTCTCAGCCGGGATGCCTGCCACAGAGCTCAGCTACTCAGATCTGGAAGTCAACTCCGCTTGTTCTGCATTTCCAAGAGGAGAATTATGGAATTTTACAGGAAGAAAGGACCTGATTCATATTAAAGAAAGCATTTTTAATTCTTTAACTAAAGTTCTAAGAGAGTATACAAGTCAAGCAATTTGCCATTTATTTTCAAAAGGTAAAGCTTTTTATGTTGCCTGTCTTCCTTCTTGGTTTTTTTGGTGGGTGGAAGGGGAGCACTCATTCCTAAAAGCTGTTGGAAAAACTTTAATTGCTAGGTATGTACTTTTTAATAACAGCTTTATCAATAATGTGGAGGTTGGAGTATTCTATTTTTACCCATCACCTCCAGGCAAGTTTCAGGTTGCCATAGCAACAACAGAAAAAGCAACAGCCAAATGGGTAATGGTCCAATTCAGGTCCTGCTCCCCTCAAAGAGCCCAGCCTTCTGGATGTCCATCTTCAGAGAGCAAGCTGTGCTGTGTGAATGTCCCTTCCTGTGCCCTATCTCAAGCCAGCGTTGCCAGTGCTTATGGTTTGGACATGGTTTGAACCCCTGGAGGTTTGTGGGAGTATTAGAAGCTTGGTCTCCAAGGGGGCATTATTAGGAGGTGGTAGGGCCTATAGGAGGTCAGTAGGTAACTGCAGGAAGGGTTTAAATTAGCTCTCATGGGACCCTAGTTAGTTGCTACAGAAAACCAAGATAGGCCCCTCTATACTCTCTGGCTTCCTGTCTTGCCAGGTGATGTCTCCTTCTCCCGTACTCCCGACACTATCATGCCGTTCACCATGAGGCCTTCACCAGAGATGAGCAGAAACTCAGTACCATGCTCCTGAGCCTCAAAACTGCTGAGCTGAGTAAATCTCTTTTCTTTTTAAGTTTACCCTGCCTTAAGTATTTTGCCAGAGCAACAGAAAATGGACTCAAATACATTCCAATGATAAATGGCTGTTTTAGGAAGCACAGAGTAGGGCAGCAGAGGTAGGAGGCTGAGTCTACCTCTCTGAGCGGAAGAACGACGTTACAGCAGCCATCTTCCTTGCTGGCAAAGCAGATGTAGCTGTCAGAGGTGAACATCCGCCCCACGGTGTGACAGCGACTAAAGGGTGTCCAGAGGGAGCAGCCCACAACCGCATGCAGCTTCTCTTTTCTTGGCAACCTGAAGAAAGCCCGGAAGAACTCATTCTGTGCTCTGGCTTCAAGGTCCCTGGTGAAGGATGGGGGAGAGAATTAAAAAAGGCAGGAAAGATGCGTGGACCTGCAAGATCACCAAGGAAACTGCTTTTAAATCCACCGCACAACCCAAGAACTAAGTGAATGCAGAGGTGTTGTGCTTCTGAGAACCTGTTGGCCTCACAAGACTCCAACTTCACACCCAACCCTGAGAGCAAAGTACTACAACACAGCAAGTCATCCCTGCACACAAATACTTTGGTGAATTCATGTGCCAAAACAAGCTTTCCTTCCTCATTTGAGTAACACTGAGGGGGGGGCCACAAAAAATGGGAAAAGAATCCAAGAATCAGAAAATCCGATGATATTAAGTATTGTCAAGGACATGGGGAAATTGGAACCCCTCAAATGCTGCTGCTGGGAGTGCAAAATGGTGTGCTTGTGTTGTAAAACAGTCTGGCAGGACTCCCAGAAGGTTAAAAAGAAACTCACTATTTACCAAAAAATTCCACTCCTAGGTATATATACCCATGAGAATTGAGAACTTATATCCACATAAATGTGCACACAAATATTCACGGTAGTATTATTCATGATAACCAAATGTCCATTAATTGAATTGACAAACAAAATGTGGTATATCCCTCTAATAGGATAGATATTATACAGCCAGAAAAAGGAGCAAAGTGCAATGCAAGTTACAACATGGATGAAGCCTACAATCATTACACCAGGCAGAAGCATCCAGTCACAAAAAGACTACATCTTGCCTGATTCCATTTCTATGAAACATTCAGAAAAGGTAGCCCGTGAAGGCAGAAAATAGATTAGTGACTTGCTCAGAGGTTGGGGGAGAGGGAGAGATGAGGCGTGATGCTTGTGACCAGTTTTTCTTTTGGGGTGATCAAATGCTACAAGTTGTGGTGATGGTTGCAGTTCTATGAACATGGTAAAAAAAACTGAATGATGTCCTTTTCTTTGAAAAGGTGAAAGGTATGAAATCCATGAATTAAATATCAAAAATCCAAAGGAGCCTGTGCTTCCTCCAGAGAGGTGCTGGGGAAGCATCAAGAATGTTCCAGAAGTTTACACACTGCAAGAATGAATGGCAAGGTCCCTCAAGATGACCCCAAACTGCCTAAGGGTGACTACGTCCAAAACATTTAAATTTAAATGTAAAAAAGTTAATGTCCTAGAAATGGAGAGAATGGTAGTTACCAGAGCTGGAGAGAGTGGGGGGAAGGAGAGGTAGGAGAGGGTAACCAAAAGGTTCTGAGTTCCAGTTGGAGAAGGGCAACTTTCTGGTGTATTGTTGCACAATATGGTGACTACTGGTAAAAGCTGGAAGAGAGGCTTTTCAATGTCTCCACCATGAAGAAACAGTAAGTGTTTGAAGAGAGATGTTTAACCCAATTTAAACAACATACGTGTAAAGTGTCAAAACACCACATGGTTCCTCATTAACATGTCTAATTTTTTCTGGTTTTAGGTATTGGTTAAAAATAAATTCAAATGAGACTAGTAAATACAAATAAACTAAACTGAAAAACTGACATCCTCGTCCCCAAGGTATGCTGGCCTTGCTGGTTTTGATGACAGCATAGTCACTGCTTCCTCCCCGTGCACATCTTACAAATGCTGTGTGGACACCTGGTCCTCCCCAAAGCACATCATCCCTTCCTTAGGAGACAGTGAAGCCAGGCTGGAGACAAGGTAAGGAGCACACGTCACAGCAGCTTGCACTGAGCTATAGGAAAGCTAGAAGGACTTGTATTCATTGTGTACCCAAGTCCTCAAATTAAGAATAAGGTATTGAAGGGCTGGGCATGGTGGCAGATGGCTGTAATCCCAGCTACTAGGGAGGCAGAGACAAGAGGATCACAGTCCAAGGCCAGCCTGGGCAAAAGCTCCAGATTTCCAACTGAAAAATAAATGAAAAGCAAAAGGACTGGAGGCTTGGTTTAAGTGGTAGAACAGCTGCCTAGCAACCACAAGACCCTGAGTTCAAACCCTAGTACTGCCAAAATGATAAAGAATAAGGTGTTGAGGTATCTGAGACAGAGCAAGTGCTTTCTATCCAGTGCACCCGCAGCCTAAGGCAACAGTTCAACTGAGCAGTGGGTATATACCACACACAAATCTCAGCTACAAAAAAGAAAGCACCAGGAAGGACTTTAAAATCTTAGTTGTTTTCCTTCCTCCCTACTCAACAGTGGCCTTCTAATTTCCCTTGTAACCATTTATGATACAGGTATTTAAATTTCTAGCATAACCGAGCTGAAGACACAGGACCTGCAGGATGAGAAACCAGCTCTTCATGCAGATCAGAGCAAGACCATCAGTTAAGTCTCTTTTAAGGCGGGCGGAGGTTTTGATGCTAAATATATCAGCTCCTTTTTCTGAACAGCAATCTAAAACAAAGCCCACTAGCCACAACTTGCCTCTCAGGCCTTCCAGTGCTTGCTAATGTCTCTGCTTTTTCTCCATAGAAAGACCAACACACCGCAGTCCTGATCTAACATTCCGGAAGACAGCAGCTAACACAGGCCTGCTGGCCACTGCGGAGGCATCCCCGGGGTGGGGCCTGACCCAGAACCCCACAGTGCAGTGTGCACAGGCCACAGCAGTCTCCCAGGAGTGCTACAGCCGGGACTCACAGAGAAAGATGCCACCAACTACCCCATCCTCATAAATGCCACTGGAAGAGCCTGTTACTAGGAGGGCATAAATGTGGTTGATCAGAACTAGAGATGAAATGTTTCAAATTTGTTATTGAAGCTAAAATCAATTTGTGCATGCCAACTGTGCAGAAAGTTCTAGGTTATATGACCTTTAAAACCAAGTTTAATTCTGAAGTCTTCAGACCCAAGAAACTTGGAGGTAGAGAGCTCATTAATTTCTCCACCAATCCAGAATTTGATTTGTCCCTCCTAGATTATGTAAAGATGTATCAAATACAGGTTTCCCATTCTCTTCTCCCATGAACCTTGTAGAACTCTTTTAGGAAGGATGCTACTTTCTAGTGCACGAATATGAAATTCTTGACTGCTGAGAAAACCTGCTGGCTTAAAGCTGGTTCAAGGTCAAATGCTTCCCCAAACTCAGGCTGGATGACAGACTGGGCAGGTCTGCTCTCCATTAGCTCAGATTTCAAGAACTTCACATTCATGCACTAGACAGGATACTCCCTGCCATGATTCCTGCCCTTCTGGGTGAAGAGAGGACAAACAGTCCTCTGCAGTCAGCTTGCCCTCTAACACAAAGCCTCTCTGTTATGTGGCCACCCCCAGACCCACACTTTATGACTGGGAAATGTCAAGAAGTAACAATCTAGCAACAAGTCAGGCAAGGTACATACCTGTGCCTTTCCTCAAAGCTGTGGGCAAATAAAACATCTCATCTCTCAAACCTGCTCTGTGACCCACCAGGAAATGGTAGAATGGCACTGTGGTGTGGCAGCTAGCACAGAACACATGGGGTCTGGAACTTCTTGAGGGATAGGACATGAAGCTCATCTGACCTTGGCAGTGGCAGTGTGAAGGTAGGATGCAGAGGAAACCACAGCTGCAATTCCTTTGGAAATCCATTCCCACTGACCCCCTCAAGAGACCCATGACCTCTGCAACACAGGGATCTCTGAGGACCCTTCACTCGCAGGAGAAGGTTCCTGCCTTCATCCTCTTCCAGCCATCCTCACCCAGAGACACACAAGCAGACAGTCAACAGTCCCAGCACCCCGTCCTATGGGTTTGCAGAAGGTGAGATGTGGGACTTCTCTTGAGAGGTGGGGGCTGGCAGGATGAGGGAGCCCCAGAGCTGTCTTATCGCTCCCAGAGGAGGGATCAGCTCAGGTCACGTGCATGGGAATTGGGTGCTCCTGTTGTGCAGCTGATGCCAGGAAGGGGTGGGTCAAGGTGGAAAAAGGCCGTAGGGATCGGCCAAGCCAGACAGGGGAAGAGGCATGCTGCTGACACCTGCCCCTGGCAGGCCTAGTTCACCTTTACAACTGGCAGAAAAAGCTTGCATCACAGGAAACAAGTTTCCACATACGTGGCTTTGTGTTTTCTCCACCATTTGCATCCAGTCAAGAGATTTTAAAACAGACTTAGTGAAGGTAACCACCCTCCAGCCTCCACCTCCCCTGCCAAAATACTGCTTGTTCTCTCGTTCTCTGACCCCCAACTTCAGGAGAGATTGCTTGTTTGGAAATTTCAAGATCAGTTTATTCCCTGCTTCTTCCCTCCATTCTGTTTGGACAGCCCCGACCTGTCCTCAGTTGCCTGCCTCTGACTCTGGATGGCACCCTCGGGAATCCCTGGTCTAGTTCCCTCCCACAGAGGTCTGAGCCTCACTCCTGCCAGGGTCTGTAAGCCCCAGTGGAATGACCACAGGACCAAGGTGACAAATGAGTAATCAGACTCATGACCCCAAGGGCACTACTGGAAAGCTGTTATCTGGGAAGGGAAGTGAGATGGAAGAAGGGAAGAGCCAGAGGGGCATTCCAGCACTCTGCGGGGCCCTGAGATGAGGAGACTATTTTCCTAAACTTTGAAACCGGTGCTCTCTTGGCAGGGTGCCAGGGGGACTGAGTCACTACCTGTTTACACCCCAGGCCTAGGTCTCCATGGCAAAAGCTGCAGATGAAACTGCCAGGGAATGGGCGGGCAGCCCTGCTTTCTCCTTTGGGAGGAAGTCACTATGGTGCAGTTCACGGCTGTGGACCAGAAGCCCCCAAGGCATCTAGGACCCAGCCCTGACCACCCCAGGGCTCCTGGAAACTCAACCACTGTCCACCCCAAAGACCCTTTCTGTCCTTTCCTCTCTTCTCTTCTTTCTAATACTTCTCAGGCAGAATGTGGGGCAGGGGTAGGCAGCCTTTGTAGTTTCCCTGGATTCTGGAACATTAATGAACACAGCCAACGCTCAAGATTTTTCTTCCAAAACAAGAAATGATTAGAGGCTAGAGACTCCTGATCTTCCTTTTCGTTCCTCACTTCCAGATGTGGCTCTGCTTGTCACACGTGTATCACCTGAAATCTGGCATGCGTGAGGCTGTTAAATGGCCTCCTGTGCCTGAGACAACCTGCTTGTAATCCACACTCACAGGTGTGTGCATCCACATAGGACACAGGTTAAAGCTTTATCTGGTGGCTTATATGAGCCCTTTGATGACTTGGACACCCAAAACTTGTTTCTTTAGGGCTTCATAATTGTGGCTTGTTGTTTTGGTAGTACCAGAGTTTGAACTCAGGGCCCTGTGCTTGTAAGGCAGGTGCTCTACTGCTTAAGTCAGGACAACAGCCACTTTTGTCCTAGGTGTTCCCATGTTTTGAATGGATTCTCATGTTTATGCTGAAATCATCCTATTTACACTTCCTAAGTAGCTAGGATGACAGGCATGTGCCACCACACCTAGTTTTTACTGGTTGAGATGGGATCGCAAGAATTTTTTGCCCACATTGGCCTCAAACCACGATCCTCTCAATCTCCACCTCCTGAGTTAGCTGAGATTATAGGCATGAGCTACCATACCTAGTGCCTTTTCACTTTTAACAGAACTTCATGAGCTGGACTAAGAACTCAGAAAACCATCCACCTCAGAGATTTGAAGAAATACAATAGAGTGTGGCTCCTACTATACTGGCTGTCTTCCTTTTAAGACAGACACCCCTAACTAAGATGGAGTGAGGGGCTGTTAATGGGGCCAGGCTGAGAAGATATGTGAGCGAGCAGAAAGTAGAAACAACCTAAGTATGCATCAACAGATGAGTAGATAAACAAAATGTGGTGTATACATGCAATGTAATATTACTCAGCCTTAAAAAGGAATTCTAATGCATGCGACAACATGGGTGAGCTCTGACAAGATTATGCTAAGAGAAATGAGCCAGCTGCAAAAGACAATGCTGTATGATTCCACTTACATAAAGGAGCTAGTCTATTTCATAGATACAGAGGAGAAAAAGGTGGTTGCCAGAGGCTGGGGAAAGGTTGAGTAGGGAGTTGGTGGTTACTGGGTGCAGAGTTTCAGTTATGCAACATAAGAAGAATTCTGGAGAGGGTGGTGCTACTGGCTGCACGAAGTGTGAGTGCTACAGACCGCACACTTTAACTGCTGAGGCGCTAAAACTTTATGTTAAGTGCATTTTACACTATCACAAGATTTGGTTTATAAAAATGACTAGTAGTGGGTGATTCTGTAACTACATCAAAAACATCTACTTTATGGTGACTTGCTTCTCGAAGGATACCTTTGTAACAATTCACCTTTGTATCAGCGCTGTGGTTACCCACCCAGTCATGATCCCCAGACTCCAAAACTGATGTCAAGCTCAAACTCCATGTCTCACTTCAGATGAAAAAGTTGAGCTTCCTTAAAGTGACAACTGAAGCAACAACCTGACAAGCGTTCTTTATATAATGATATAAACAATATTGACTTATTCTATTAGGAAAGGTGTATTTCTGATGACGAACTAGTATCAAAATAGATTCAGCTGTCCCCAAAAGTTTTCTAATTTTAATATGACAAAACAAAGCAGCTCAGGGATCAAGCATGTACCTAGCATATACGAGGCCCCAAACACATCCAGAAACATTTTAAAAAGATCAAATGTCTTAATTTTCATTAATAAAGTGTAGTACTAGTGGATCTCATCATGAGAATGCCTGTATTACATATTCTAGAAGTACTTTATTTTTTGGTGGGATTTTTTTGTTTCTTTGGTGAAACTCAGGGCTTCAGGCTTGCTAGGCAGGTGCTTACTGCTTGAGCCACACCTACAGTCCATTTTGCTCTGGTTATTTTGGAGAAGGGATCTCATGAACTATTTGCCCAGGCTATCTGCAAACCACAACCCTCCCATCTCAGCCTTCCAAGAAGTTAGGATCACAGGCGTGAGCCACCAGCTCTCAGCACTAGAAGTACTTTTTATGAACATCAATTTTGAAGTAATATCTGAAAAACAGAGGAACTGGATCCAGAAATCAACATCTCCTGCACAAAGGAAATGAATAATAATCATTTCAAATTGTTAGCTCTGCCAAGATCAACAGCTTGGGGACATCTGGATGATAACCACAAGGGAATCATGACGTGGTACTTCTAGCCCTCGGTGTCCACGGGATCTGCATCTTTGGATTCAACCAACCATGAATCAAATATTCAGGAAAAAATATTCTATCTATATTAAATATGCACAATCTTTTTTCCTTGCTGGTATTCCCTAATATACAGTATAACAATTTATATAGCATTTAAATTGTCTTAGCTATCCTAAGTCATCTATAGATGATTCGAAGCATCTTGAAGATGTGCATTGGTTACATGAAAATACTCTGCCATTTACATAAGGGACAGGAGCATCGACAGGTTTTGGTGTGTACAGAGAGAGGTCCTGGAACCAATGTCCTGTGGGCACAGAGGGACAACCACACAATGAAGGAATTGAGGCTGAGCAGAACTGTGGGGCACTGGTGCAGGTTGGGGACACTATGGAACTGACGCCCTACCTTTTAGTGATCTGACTTGGCTCCTGCAGATCAGGGTCCAAGTCAAAGACCTCATTATCCAGCAGCCTCCGGAGTGTCACATCTGCCAGCTGCTCCATAATCTTAAAGACCTCATCCAGGTTCAGAAACATGGAGAAGTCACGCTCCTTACTCTGCGTGGTGATCCGGATGGTGTCCGTCAGAAAGACATTGGATGTTCTTTCTAACTTCTGGATATCAACCCAAGGGATTACAAGTTTAACTGTATGAGGAAAACAGCAAATACGTATTATGCCACATAACTGGAGCTAAAGTTGACTTCATCAGCAAGCAACAGTTTGAAGCTTTCCTTAAGATGAAATGCAAATGTCTGTTAAGCCAGCAGAGAGAAGAGCCCAGAACTGGGTGACGGCTGCTGGTGAACCCCTAGCCCCCCATTCAATGATTTCCCTACAGACTTATGTGAAGTGTTCCAAGCTGATGGCTACTGCACATCCCAGGAACATGATTCCAGGACAGCAAGTTATCAACACACAAACTTTCTCAAGAGCATTTAAACATGCAAGTTTCTCAATCCATACAAATTCTGGTTCTAAAACCAGCATTCCTGGTGCACTTGGAGAAAAATTAGTATAAAAGAAGATTCTTCATGCTTTTGCTTAGAGAAACAGGTTGAACGTGTAGACTGTGTCACATGAGACTGTTAGGCTTAGAAGAGAGACTACAAGTAGTTTTTATGAAACCCTCTAAGCAATACCTCTGAGAGTGGTGGCTCATGGCCAGTGCTCCCAGAAACTCAGGAGACTGAGGCAGGAAGATCGCTTGAACCCAGGAGATGGGAGCCAGCCTGGGCAACAAACTGAGACTCTATCTCTCAAAAAAGGTAAACTAATACAGTACAAATAATGCATTTTAAAAACAAGTATTGTATTCTCAGAAATGTTTCTGATACAGTGATTGCTAATGTGCTAATGTAGAGAAAAGGGGAGAATTATAACCTTATACCTGATGAATGACTCATCAGAGACACATATATAACGTAAAATCACAAACATTATTGAATATCATCATTACCCTAACACAATCAGCTTTAGTGACAATCATTAATAATAAAATAATAATTCATTTACTGAGAAAATAATTCACTTCCTTTTCTAATCAAGTAGGGAATAATTTAGTTTTTTATTTATTTTCATTTACTTTGCAATACAGTTTTTAGTGTTTTAATAATTTGAAAAGGCTCCATAAACTTCATCTACTTCTAGATGTTTTCACATAAAGTGTTTTGGGGGGTTATTTGTTTTTGAGGTACTAGGGTTTGTACTCCTCAGGGTCTTCCACTTGCCAAGTAACACCCCCAGCCCTTTTTTGCTTTAGTTTCTTTTTGCCCAGGCCAGCTCAAACAGAGATCTTCCTATTATACTTCCCACATATCTGGGATGACAGAAGTGACTGCACTCTCAGCCTTTTATTGATTGAGATGAGGTCTCGTGGACTTCTTGCTCAGGCTAGTCTTAAACCATGATCCTCCCAATCTCTGCCTCCTGAGTAACTAGGATTACAGGTGTGAGCCACTGTACCCATCTCAAAGTATCCCCACTATGCACACACACACACGTACATGCACACACGCACCCACAAACACATGCACACACATGTACACACGTGTACACGCACTCACTCTACATCAACTTTAGTTCATTAAGCAACTGCTTTGAGAAGCAAAGCATTTTGAAGCATTTTAGCAGCTCATAAAAGTAGAAAAACTGACATGCAAGCAAGTAAGCATTTATTGACTGGATGGAACCCAACACAGAAACACAAATATAGTACAAATTATTTGGGCCCAAGGGTGGATTTCTGGAGGTGACAAACTGTGAATTGGGTTCTGAAGGATGAACAGGAGTTTCCTAGCAGGCTAAGCACAGGGAAAGGAAAGAAAAGCAGGGTGTTCATTTTGAGAAGCATTTCAGAAAGGAAAATAAGAACAGCCAAGGTTAGGCCAGGCATATGCCATGAGTAGGAGAGGGCTTTGCAAATAGATGTGTGTCCTAGAGCCTCCCAGTGAGGCTGGTGAGGCAGAAAGAGAAGCAAACACTAAGTGCAGGAAGCTGGCTACAGCAGCATTCAAGAGAGGTGCCTCCACTTTAGATATAAATGCAGAAAGAAAATACACGTACACGTGAAGCACCCATGCCACCCAGCACAGGCATATTAAACTTTCAGTCTATAAGGGACACTGTTGTTTTTCTTTTTCACCTTGGAATGCCATGGCCCAGGACAGTGCAAAGTCAATCAGTGCCTAGACCTCAGGTGAACCCAGGTGAAAAATCCCCTTTCCAGTAGTAACAGTGCATCCAGTAATTGTGACCTTCAGGGATGGGCAATTAAAAAATGTAGCTGGAACAGATTCTACTCTTCCAGAAATACTCAGTCATTGGTTATGACTGTGTTTGCAAAGCAATCCACAATAGTAAAAACCCGTTAGTAGCTATTTGAAGTGAATTACACAGAAAAGCATCTTAAAGAAGTAGGGAAAAATAAGCCCTCCTCAAATCAAGCCCCCTAGCAGAAACACGTAAACTTAAGCATAATTATCTGTACATGTCATTTCGAAATGAATCAAGTATCACTAGCTGTCATTCAATCATAGGTTGCAGTCTTTTGTTGTGGCACTCATACACTTAATGTCTCTTATAAGCAAGTCTAAGCATTTCCAGGGCTGACTTTATCAGTGAAGGACCAAAAGCTCGCTTGTCACACTTACGTTCCTTGCCCAGGAAGAAGGAGTAGAAGCAGAGGTGGTTGATGCTGAGGTACAGCCAGCCCTGGCGGGGCACCCGGCCCTTCCAGCAACAGCAGGAGTAGTAGGTGACCAGTTTCTCTGCCTCAGGGAAGTTGAACCTGGCCTCGAACTTCACCAGGGCTTCTCGAAACTTCTCAGGCTCCTCCTCCTGCTCTGCAAGCCTGCTGCTGGTCTCCTCAGCAATCAAAGCCTAAGGCACAGAGAGATGGAGGTCTCTTACCCACTGAGTCTGGCAGAGGAAAGGTGGAGGGGCAGGGGCAGGAAGCAGGAAGGATGGACTGGTAAAGGCACCTTCAGAATCTGAGCTACTTCCACAATACCCAGTCTGACACTCAACCTTTTACCGGTCACAAGTGTTTGGTTGAATCATATGACTTCTAACACCCAGTTCTCAAATTATTTTCCAAGTTCTCCCAGTTCTTCCACACAGGAATGCTACAGTTTGTATCTTAAATGTCCCCCAAAGTCCCAAGTGTTGAAGGCCTGATTTCCAGTGTGGCCCATTGGGAGTGGTAGAATCTTTGGGAGGTGGGAGCTATGGGTGGGTTTTAACATTGGGAACCCAGCCCCCTCTTCTCTCTTTGCTCCCTTGCCACTACAAGCAGTGCTGTTCTGCAGCATGCTCCCACCATGATGTGATGTCATATCACAGGCCCAAAGTGATGGGGTCAATCTCTCACGGACTGAAAAAAACCTGTGAGTCAAAATAAACCTTTTCTCTCGATAAGCTGAGGATCTCAGTATTTGTTATAGTTCTGGAAAGCTAACTGACACATGAAAACCAAATAATGAACTCTTACATGAGAACCTACTGCATAGACCTGAAGAATTACCCAAATGTGAGTTCAAAGTTAGTCTTTTAAAAATACTAATGAATCTCTCCCTCACTGCATTTAAACAAAAGTAGGTATTACCCTAACAACTGTGGCACCCTGTGAAGCCTAATATATTTCACTACCACTGTGTATTCTGGGCAAATGTCCAGGGCCACGAGTAGGAAAGCCCAGACCCTCTGTGGTTGGCCACAGGAAAAGGGAGAACAAACTCCAGGTTCTGTTTGAAGGCTCCCTTGCTCCCTAGCCTGGCCTCCTGGAAACCTTTCATTTCCTTCTTTTTCGATACAGGGTCTCACTATGTAGCCGAGGCTTACCTTGAACTTCTGATCCTCCTGCCTCAGCCTCTCCAGTGCTGGGATCACAGACAGATGTGCACCACCATACTGGGAAAGGGGTCTTTTTTTTTTTTTTTTAAGACATTTTAGCTTTAAAGTATCAGGGATCAGAATCTGTCACCCTCAAATATGCCACATTGACATAAGGATTATTTTGAGCTGAAGACAACTGATAAACAATAGACCCCAAAAGACTCTGTCATCTCTCCCTCCTCCCCCCCATCAGCCTAAAAATAGGACATATCTCCATTTGTACAAGAGGAGGATTTGTTAGTCACCAGGGACTGCTCTAGACTCTCACCAGCAGAGAAACCCATGAAACAGTCTTACAAAGACAGCTCTATCTTCCATTAGCACCCCATGTTTATTGCCCCCAAAGCCTAAGCCCCTATCCTATCATCCTTTCCCCTACGGCTCTTCCTTGAGATGCTATACCAGGCCAAGTTATAACCACCCCTGCAGTTACTATGGCTGAGTTTCAGCCTCATGTATGCATCATGCATGTGTTAAAATAAACTTTTTTCTTATTAATTTGCTATTTATCAATTTAATTTCCAGCTTCCCCCCCCCACTCCCCACCAGATCCTAAGAGGACAGAAGTTTTCTTCTCCTACAGAAGCATTCCTGAAATGCTGTAGCAGAAATGAATTCCTTCCTCCCAATTAAGAGAACTCCTTAATCAAAAAACCACTACTATCCTTGTTAGACCTTGCTAACAAGGTCAAGTGTGAAAAGAAAAAGACATGGCTGTCACTAATCCTCTGATGCAGGGAATGGAGTCACAGTCAGGATGAGGGGACATAAGGGTTGGGCATGTTCCTGGACCTCACCATCGGTCCAGGCCTACCCTGACCCCACAGGCCTGGGGTTCACCTAGAGGATACCAGTCAGCACTGGTTTGTTTGTGGACAGTGCTCATTATGTAGCCCAGGCTGGCCTTGAACTTGTAGTCCTTCTATTTCCACTTCCTAGAGGCATGTTTTTATTCTGTTTCTCTAAAATAAAAAATTCACTCTGACACCTGTACTAATAGGTGTATCACCTGAGGTGTGAGAAAGCCAAGCTTTTTGAAGAAAACAAAAATCCATGCATCTGAGATGCTTTTACTCTAAGGGAGCAAACCGTATAGTGGGTTAACATGTTCAAGTGTTTAATGAGTCTGGCTTGGAATGAGGAGCCATCTCTCCTGGCCGTAGGGTTTCAAACCACCGATTAACCCATCATGCTATGCAACAAGACTAGTTACATAAGGCTATAACTCACAGAAGGGATAAACAAATACCTCCCAAAATTATCCCACTCCTGTCTTCTCAAAATTTAATTGGTTTTAATTCCACTTCACGTATTTTAAGAATAAACATCCACTATGACAGGAGGAAAGTACTAGACTCAACAAAATGTCACAAGATGTCATAGCTGCAAGACAGTTGGAAATAACTAATTTAAGGAGTCAAATAATGTGTGCTCTGCGGAAACACAAATCTTAACATTATAATTTTCTCCCACGACAAAAAAAGGGCCTTCAATTCTGTAAAAGACAACAGGAACTAGGCTTGTACTAGACTCAACAAAATGTCACACAGATGTCATAGCTGCAAGACAGTTGGAAATAACTAATTTAAGGAGTCAAATAATGTGTGCTCTGCGGAAACACAAATCTTAACATTATAATTTTCTCCCACGACAAAAAAGGGCCTTCAATTCTGTAAAAGACAACAGGAACTAGGCTTCAGAATCACATCATTTGTTTTGTCTTTTCATTTCAGGGAATTTTGCTGACTTGACTCTGCAAAATTTGACAAGTGAGAAGTCAAACATACTTGGCATTATGTATTAAGCTAGAGTTTAGCCAGGGTGGAGAAAGCTGTCAGTGTGCTGCAGCATTCAGGATGTTCTGACAAAGATGGGGAGGTAAAGAAAAATGCTAAAATCAAAGGACCTACCTTTACCTTCCTTTGACAAAGCTGGCAATGTCGTCTTTATTATCAAAGACAGACAAAGTGTGGAGGAGATTCTGTTCCAGCCAGTCCCAGTGCTGGTTTATTCCTCTAAAGTGGCACCTACATTAGAATAGAAAGATAGAGACATTTGAAACTAAAAGTTAATATAGTGCATATCCTGAGTTTATGTTACTCTCTTACCTGGGCCAGCTCCCCAGTAGAAAAGCAGGCACCTTCTATAGAAGCTGTGGTCTCCCTTGTCATAGCAGAGGGATGTGCAAAAGAAGTCCCACTGCCACATGACAGGCCAGCTGACGAATGGGTTGCCCCTGGGACAACAGCCATCCTGCCCATTTCAGTACACTCAGAGCACCTACCACTCAAGTGACAAAAACATTCATAATTACACAGGCATTCTGGCATGGAACAAGCCCTGAGTAGCAGACAGATTCTGAACAATCTCTCATGTACCCCCATGAAAACAGGGTCCCTCAACAAGTAGAAAGCCCAGGTTCCAGAGACAAAGCCCTGTTGGCCATGCAAGGATGTCGCCACTTGCAAACCAGCTTAGTTCAATCTAGCGAGCAATTGTCTAGGAAATTTACAGATTTACAAAAGGATACTTCATATCATTTACAGCAATATCCCTTAAACACCTGGATAAAGAGGTCTTAACAGTACATGTTTTACCAAACACCGAAGTGTAAATCATACAAGGTAATTTAGTTTCTTTTAAAGGCAACTAAAACATTCATCATATTACTGAAGCATTAACAACACATTAACAAAAAGCTTAGTCATTTTAGGCATCTATATTATTTCTCAAGGAATAATAATAATAGTGATCATTTCTCCCCAAGCCATCGCCACTGGTGAGAAGGACAGGGGCTGTGCCCAGCTCCTAGAGAGGAGCCCAGCACATAGCAGATACTCAGTGAAGTCCACTGACTGTGAAGCAAGCATACCCTGGCAAGAAAGGGTACGTGTTATGAGGTAGGTGTAGCTTGGCTACAGTTCCAAAACGGGACACAGCATGATCTAACCTCAGAGAAATCAAGGGCTACCAAAACAGTGCACAAATCAGCTAGTCAATTTAAAGAAGCAGACGGTCACAAGAGCCACAAACCACTTACCCAAAAGCAAGATATGCATTTTTGTTAAAATTCAACTTCCAAAGCACACAAAATTTGTTATATGTACAAAATTGAAAATGTGGTATAAAATTACCTTCAGGCTATGTGGATAAGGTATAAATGAAGCATAAATAAATTTCATGCTTACACTTTGCTCCCCTTCCAAGATACTATGTCTGTGCAAATATTCAGTAACTCAAGAGAATCTAAAACACTTCTGGTCCCAAGCATTTTGAATAAGGAATACTCAACCTATATTCCATGCAAGAAAGTGCCAGAGGCCTCACTCTGGAGTTGTGGATTTGGGTCCATGCAAATGAAGAATGTCTCAATCAGCATTGCTGTTCTCAGTGGGGGTTTGGGAAGGAAGGAATAAAAAGATGTACCTAAGAGTGAAAAACAACAGTACTAATTTCCCTTGTATTCTCCCAATTTTTAGGCACGACATTGCCCAAAATAGTATCCTTGGTTCATCATGAAAGCCAGTCTTCTTGTCAGCACCAGGAGGACAAGCCCCATGGTGCTCCCTGACAAGTGCGCTACTCACAAGCCTAAGCTCCCTGTTCCCTGTACCAAGAGCATGTGACCAGGGATGCTCCTACCTTCCCTCTGTCTCACCTCCTGGTCTTATTCTCTAAGGATCAATAAGCCCCAAAAAGCAGTCCAATTAGGGCTAACTAGGAGCTGGGTGTAGAGGTGTGCTCACGATTCTCTTGCTCCCCTCCCATCTAGGGTCTCCCCACACCTCTCAAGATAAGGAAAACTTTCTACTATTATTATTGGCAGTATTAGGATTTGAACTCAGGGCCTTGCAAATACTTGAGCCACACCCTCAGTCCCTTTCACTTTAGCTTATTTTTCAGATAGTCTTGTTTTTGTCAGGGGAAGGCTTTGAACTGTGACCTTCCTACCTCTGCCTTCCTCATAGCTGGAATTACACGT